TGTAAGAAAAACAAGAGTGAGTATGAGGGTCTATGCCCCAAGAAATAAATAGTACAGAAGGGAAGAATAGGAGATTCGCTCAGAAGCTGTTATGCTAAAGGGCAGGGAAGAAATTAAGCAGGCATATCCAAATTTAATTTGTATTAAGATCAGGAACAAGTACCACTACTTAAAAGATTTTTTTAAATGACTAAGTTGTATGTTTTACAAGATGCAACTTTCTTTGAGCAACAAAGCTAAAAGATCTTCTTACGGGGCTCTATGATTAATGGCTATGTCTTCACTGGTTGGAAAGCATATCTTTCTATAATAATGTCAGCCCACTGTTTCCTCCCAACCCAGTAATTGTGAGGGTTCGTTTTCCCAAACCCCAGTACCCACTGCAGTCATCGTGCTCCATCTGATCTTTTCCCTGGCTAAATGCCTGGCTAAAGGTATTTCCAATTTACTTGTTCAGATACACTTCTGACAAATCAACAAATGAAAGTACTTCTCCTTTCATGATGGCGGTCAGGGCACCTGGAAGACCCCACTATAATTATAAAAGGGGTATATCCACCCACAACAATGACGATGACAACTTTCAAGGGCCTGGGAGACTTCACCAAATGTCAGGAAGCCAGAAGGATGTGGGGAGAGCACTGAGCAATGAAACTGAGCAGAGGCAGCTTACAGGCCAGAGAGTTCTGAGCTGGTACTGCCGAGGCAGTGAATAGTTGATTTTATTCAGTTAGACCCCAAAGAGGCTGCAGACTCAGCAAAAGTATGAACTGTATGTGACAGAAGTGGCAAGAAAGGTAGAAAGGAGAAGAAGAATCAAAAAGTCTGGATATCAACAATTATTCCTTTCATGACTACTTCCTGTCTTTAAAAGAAAGAAGAAACCTTACAGCTTCCCCACTCCTGAGCGAAAATAAGAAAAGGGAGATGATTCTCTAAAAAAATTAAACAAATTGTCTAGTGAGGACCAAACAGCTCGTGTGGTGAAGAGAACCCCACAGTCAAGCCCTCCTCATTCTGACGTCTAGCAGTTCTCCAGCAAGAGGGCTCAGGGCGGCTGTGTGCACCCAGGCTGAAGCCTGCTAGAGGCAGGTGCTGTCATGCAGGACTTCTAGGCAGCCATAATGCCACTTCATTTTTAAAAAGAATAGACAATCAAAAATAAATATACATTTTAAAAGTCTGCAACATGAAAGAGAAAAACCAAGATAAACAACAAAAAGACTCTGGAAGAAACAGAATATTAAGAGGAGACTTTTTTTTCTTAAAAAAACTCAAAAAAAAACCCCAATTTATTAGTATTCCTGGAAATATTTGAGAATAATTACATGCACATAACAAGAACAACTACAACAAAAAAAACGAGAAATACAAGAAAAAGCTCTATGAAATTAAAAATGCGAGCCTCAAATAACAATAGGCAACACTATGTGTGCACAGGCTTGAGTACCTTAACCTCACACTTGTATTTCTTTTTTTCTTTCTCTTTTCTTTCTTTTTTTTTTTTTTTTTTTCCCTAAGATAGAGTCTTGTTCTGTTGCCTAGGCTGGAGTGCAGAAGCGTGATCTCGGCTCACTGCAACCTCCGCCTCCCAGGTTCAAGCAATTTTCCTTTCTCAGTCTCCCGAGTAGCTGGGATTACAGGTGTGCACCACCACGCGTGGCTAATTTTTGTATTTTTAGGAGGGATAGGTTTTTGCCATGTTGGCCAGGCTGGTCTCAAACTCCTGACCTCAAGTGCTCCACCCACCTCAGACTCCCAAAGTGCTGGGATTACAGACGTGAGCCACCGCACCCAGCTTTTGTATTTCTGATGATTTAATCTACCATATAGACAATACCTTACCTAGAATGTGTTATATCTTCCAGTACTGTCAACAGTTTATAATGGCATATGTGGATTATGTTCATGACAAAGGGACAGTGCCACCATGTCCACTGTTCAAGAAAACCTGAGTCTGCTTTTAACTCCTCTGCAAGTTTACAGAAGTTTAATTCTCTCAATACCTGCCTGTCTTTTCTATAGAAGGGGAGTAACCAAAGGTCATAGATTTTTTTGTTTTTGTTTTGTTTTTTTGAGACAGAGTCTCACTCTATCACCCAGGCTGGAGTGCAGCAGTGCGATCTTGGCTCACTGAAACCTCTGTCTCCCGGGTTCAAGCAATTCTCCTGCCTCAGCCTCCCAAGCAGCTGGGATTACAGGGGTGTGCCATCACACCCGGCTAATTTTTGTATTTTTAGTAGAGACAAGGTTTTGCCATGTTGGCCAGGCTGGTCTTGAACTCCTGACTTCAGGTGATCCGCCCACCATGGCCTCCCAAAATGCTGGGATTACAGGCGTAAATCACTGTGCTCAGCCATGTTTTTTTTGTTTGTTTGTTTGTTTGTTTGTTTGTTTTGAGACAGAGTCTTGCTCCGTCGCCCAGGCTATATAGTGCGATGGTGCGATCTCAGTTCGCTATAACCTCCGCCTCCTGGGTTCAGGTGATTCTCCTGCCTCAGCCTCCCGAGTAGCTGGGATTATAGGCACCTGCCACCATGCCCAGCTAATTTTTGTATTTTTAGTAGAAATGGGGTTTCACCATGTTGGCCACACTGGTCTCGAACTGCTGACCTCAGTGATCCACCTGCCTTGGCCTCCCAAAGTTCTGGGATTACAGGCATGAGACACTGCACCTGGCCCAGTCATGTTTTTAGAGTGACATATGAAAACTCTTAGAAAATATTAATACAGAAGAACTAGCTTAATATGAAGATTTCAAAATACTAGAACAAATTAATGAGATACATGTGAAATCCTCCCTGGGTAGCTGCGTGAAGAAGATAAGCATCCCTCCTATCTGGGTAATTTGCATACCCTCCTTCCTTAAACGTTGAGGCAGGGATTGGTTCGTTGGTTTAAAACCCTACCCATTAGTCTCAAAGCCCTCTTTATATGACAAAAAATTCTGTCATGTCCCATTTAGTACTCTAAAATCAAATTAAATATTAACTACTGTACATGCAGCTTTAAAACATGAATATCCTAAATGTAACATAAAAGATAATCTAAAAAAAGCAATATATAACAAAAAATACTTAACATTTCATTATATAAATAATTTTCAGGGCAGTTAACTATGTAATCAAATAGATGCTTGTAACTTACTAATAAAGAACAAGTTTGTATTTAAGAGAAGTCAGATTAGAAGCTTTCCATATTAAAAGTGCAGGAAAATGAAAGAAGTAGTATAGATGGACCAGAGAATGACAATGAATCTATTCTGTGTATATTAAAAGTATGCAAAAATTATTTTGCATTTTCATGAAAAAATGGAGTTAAGTCTAGGTTTAGAAAATTATAAACTGAGCTGTCCCTACATGAATGTCCAACAGGACAGGTGAAAGTCATGTGCACCACAGGGCAATTCTTTATGTCTTTTCTACTGTGGGACATTGAGGACTCTGGCTCTCACTCATGAAATATCCTTCATTAGGGCTGAGCACAGTGGCTCATGCCTGTAATCCCAGCACTTTGGGAGGCTGAGGCCGGTGGATCATCTGAGGTCAGGAGTTTGAGACCAGTCTGGCCAACAGGGGGAAGCCCCATCTCTACCAAAAATACAAAAGTTAGCTGGGCATAGTGGCATGGGCCTGTAATCCCAGTTACTCACGAGGCTGCAGCAGGAGAGTCGCCTGAACTCAGGATGCAGAGGCTACAGTGAGCCGAGATCGCACCACCGCACTCCAGTCTGGGCAACAGAGGGAGACTCCATCTCAAAAAAGAAAAAAAAAAAAAAATCCTTCATTGTACCACCAGAACAGCCTCATAAATTTCCACTCTGTCACCTAGGGGGCGGTACTGCTTCTATGAGAACTCCTGACCAGATCATCTATGGGAGTTTCTTTTTAGTCTTCATCGTCCATCGCAGTGAGAATCAAATCCTGATGGACATATCAGCAACATAGCTAGGAGGCATAGTAACTTAATATAAAAGAAGACTATGGAGAAATTAATTTAGTTTAGGCTTATGCCATTAACTGTAGCCATATTCAACATAATTGCCTCTTGTTGAGTTCAGGATGATTGGTTACCCCACGTAGAACATGGAGTGGAAAGCTGTATCTTTGTGGCTTTTATTTAGATAGCACAAAATGAGCCTGATTTTTAAAATGTGAACATTCAAACCTGGCTAACTAATGATAAAAAAGGGAGTTTTTCATAGAACTCTACAACTCTCATTTCCTCAAAACAAGAATTAATGCATTCTTTCACATGCGGTCATTACAGGAAGGGGGGGTAGCCATTTACTGTAAATGCCTTTCTGATGCAATTCTACCACCTCTTTCAAAGACAGAATTCATCCAAGAAGCCTTAGTCACTTCTTCAAGAAAAATGCCACTGCACTGAATGTACACAGACTAAACCACATGCCTAAGGAAAAAAGATGAGCTGATTCCACCATTAGAACGCAGACTAAACCACATGCCTAAGGGAAAAAGATGAGCCGATTCCACCATGAGAACACAGATCGGGAGAAAAGTGGCAGAGAGAGCGAGCTCATAGCTTCTTTGTCAGAGCAGATTAAGTAGTACATCTGAAAATCCGCCCTTTAATGTAACAATCATTGTTTCTTAAACCAAATGCTAACACAGATCTCCCCTTCTTAAACCAAATGCTAACACAGATCTCCCCTCTGCCTAACTTTTAAAGTATACTTCCTAAAAATGTAAGACTCCACTTCTAAGCCAGTAGCAATTGTGGTGATTTAAATTTTTAAAGTTTCATGCACAGAAAGAAAAATGGAATCTTTTAAAATTTGGAAATGAAACTATGTTTTGAAGAGGGTAGATTTTACATGAAAAGGGCAAGACAGTGGATAATACGATAAAGCAGCCTGGATGGAAAAACTTCAGACAAATAGTTCTGAGCTCTTCTCAAAAGAGAGGATCAATTTTTAAAAAATCTCAAAACCACCCAAAGGGGAAAAAAAAGGAATAATTTCTCCAGTGTATCCTTACCCGGATGAGCACGAATTCTTCTAACAGCCAGATGCACACACTTGTTTTTATGGAGGAGTTACTGCTGAGCCAAAGCCCAGGAGTCACTCAAGACTGGAGGCTGCGTGCTGCTGGAGCCCGAAATCCCCTTGATGAATGAAACTGCACATCGTAATATACACATTCAGAGCGGGCTATTGGCTAAATGAAGGCAATGCGTGTGGAAGTCTGATTTGCCACCTTCAGGGCAGGCGTCTTATATCCTAATTCAGAAAAATGACAGGCTTTTTTTTTTTTTTTACTCCCTAGATAGTCAAAACTAGAGAGGGTTCGTTTTTCTGCAGCATTCTCCCCAACCCTACGGAAACCACAGAGAGAATAAACCACAGTGAGATTTGACTCCTTAACTAGGCAATGCCAATGAGAAAAGAATTATGTTGACACTGGCAATTTACAAATAAATCTCATACCACTGCCAAAGCTTGTTCGTGTTACATGACTGTCTGAGAGTCATACATAGGTGTGGGGATGGTGTGGCTCATTTTTTAAGCCAAGAATTCTGAGCCATAATTTTGGGGCTCCCTGAGGGTAGCAGACTCTACCAAGGAGTGGTAAAAACTCTTAAAAAATATATTAATCTTTGTGCTATACTAGTGATCAACCAAAACATTAAGAACTAAGAACTACCTAAGTTTGGACTCAGAATCTCTGGGGAGGAGCCCAGGAGGATGAATTTTAACTGGCATCCTAGGTCATTCTAATGTCCTCTAAAGTTTGAGGGCTACTTTTCTTGTTATTGGAACTGAACAGCTGATTATAGCTGCTTCCATCTTCCTTTGTCATTCAATTATTTTGTCCTTGATTCCTGCTGAAGTCAGGAGCGACAAGAACAGCAAAGCCTCCTCAGGACAACTTGTGGCTTCTAACCCCAAGGAAATAAAAGGAGAGCCAGGCTGGGTTCACTTGGTCTCCCTTCCCCACCCACCTCTGCTTCACTCCACCAAGAGAGAAAAGTTCAAGCTACAGAAACCTGGAAAATGCCCTACTTGAGGGAGAATATGAAAATTACACTAACAGATGCTACAACTGGAAAACGAAAAATATACTGCCGAAGAGAAGAGGAAGAAAAAGAGAGAGAGAACACTAATGCTTACTGACTCCTTACTATTGTAGAAAAAACTGGGTTCTTGTCACAGGACCAGGAAGAGTTATGCACACAGACCCTTTGAAGGGTGAGGGGTTATGGAATCTATTGGGCAAAAAGGAAAAAGACTCTCAGCAAACCAAGAAGGGTTTTTATGAACAGGCCCCCATCTCACAGATTGAATCCCAAGTCACCACCCAGGAACAGGAGAGGCCAGGCTCCCGCTGCAAAGGATGAGAACTTCCTGAGGCTCCACCCCCTCCTCCCTGTGCACAGGCTGGTGGGAGGCTCTCCAGGGACCTTCCCCCTTATCTTCCTCCTGCATCGATCATTACTATGTTCCAGACACCACATCAACAACTTTATATGCAGTTTTCTTTGTCAAAGAAGTCTCACCAAAAAAACTTCTTCGAAAGTATCTGAACACACAAACTCAGGTGTCTACATCTTACAGCAGAGACACACAGTGCATCCTCCACGGACGACGCCGTGCTGGCTAAGTGTGTCCAACTCTACCCCAACTGCCCTATGAACAGAAAGCATTTCTAAAAAAGGAAACAGAGAAATACTGTTGGAAATGTATTTAAGAGAAATCATCTGTGTTTTTTTTTTTTGTTGTTGTTGTTGTTGTTTTGAGACAGAGTCTCACTCTGTTGCCCAGGCTGGAGGGCAGTGGCACGATCTCGGCTCACTGCAACTTCCACCTCCCGGGTTCAAGCAATTCTCCTGCCTCAGCCTCCCAAATAGCTGGGATTACAGGCGCCCGTCACCATACCTGGCTAATTTTGTATTTTTAGTAGAGATGAGGTTTCACCATGTTGGCTGGACTGGTCTTGAACTCCTGACTTCAGGTGTTCCACCCGCCTCGACCTCTCAAAGTGTTTGGATTACAGGCGTGAGCCACCACACTCGGCCCCGTATTTCCTATTCTTATTCCTTCTTTATTCAACCTAAGATTGTATGGCCTTTCAGAAATTTCAAAGAAGTCTCCTGTCATCTGTTCTCCCTTCTAACCTGTTTATTTCAATCCAAAGTACTGAGGGAAACCCCATCATTATAATATGACTTGAAAATATTATTTGGACATCACCAACAACTATTAACATTGTTTTTTGCTTTAATAAAAGGGGTTTTATCTTTGTCTCTAATATGCATAAAGTTCCTAAGGAAACTTTCTAGAGAAGGGGAGCTCAACTTAGAAGACAGCTTATTTAGGAACAAGTTTTTCCAAATCCTCCCCTGCACCTTTGTTTCAGGATGATTATGCATGGTAGCATCCTAACACAAAGGGGAAGGAAGCTGACCTCTGACTTACTACTATGAGTGGATCTGGTACGTTTGGTATTCCAAGTGTTTTGACTAATAGGTAAATGCAGATCTGTTGGGGCAGTGTTTCTCAAGTTGTGTTAGCACTAAAGTCCCTTCTATTCCCCTAAATGAAATCTTGGGTGAAGACCAAATATCCTCACATGCTCGCTGCTGTGGTGGGTGGGCTGCAGGGCCCACAGGCCTTCCTTATTTGGGCCCACTTTCTCAACTCATCCCCAGGGTGGCTACAGCGGCGACACTGCCAAACCCCAAAGCCTCTGTTTTCTATTTTCTCAGACGTTGATGATTTTTTAAATTAATACTTTATCATTTTATTTTACGTATGCCTTTGTGTCTCAAAGTGGGGCATACATTGAAACATTGTGAAAGTCATGTCAAGTCATATTTGAAATGCTACTTGCAACACTGAGCTTAGGAATTCTGGGACGTATTTGGCCAGTGTGGACCCTGACATGAAGATTATAATTTCCATCTGTATGCCTTTGAAAACAATACCCTTAATATATTTGCAAGTTCAAGGTCATTTTAGAAACACAAAACTTTGTGGAGATGTACAGTTTAAATGAATGAGAATACCATCTTGATGATTAAGATACCTTGCCAAATTTCACTTCCACTAGTGACCATTAGTTTGCTACATAGGGGACAGTAAGTTTCAGACTATATACTAACACTCAAGCAAATATATATATACACACACACACACACACACACATATATACACACACATATACACATATATATACACACACATATATATACACACACACATATATATGTACACTGTGTGTGTACGTGTGTGTATGTATACCTGAACTCTAAAATGGGAAATGAATTTAAAGTGCTGCTAGATAATCATTATCAAGAAAATTATATTAATAATATCAGGTCAGCACAGAAAACAAAGACTGAAATTCCTTCATGAAGAGGCAATATGTACTTCTAAACTTCTGCTAACAAAAGTTGAATAATCTTTTCTTTTTCTGAGTGTTATTTCTCAGTTGGTTTTGTTTGTTTGTTTGTTTG